TTGTCATATGCTATTAGAAACGATGCAAAACTATTTTCAAGATATTATTGAAATTTAAGAGATTTTTTCCCTGTTGAACTCTAAGAGAATGTTCTCTTACATGTGTCTTAGCGATTTCTAAAAATGCTCAACATGAGTTTTAAAAAAGCACTCATACGAGCCGTTAACAAGAGTCTAAAAGAAATTTTTCTTTTAGTAACATTTTCTCTGAGGTATTCTTAGCATGTGTTGGGAGAAATTTCACTTACATTTTACTCCCTCATCTTTTCGCCACACATTATATATACATTTGGAATCAAAATAGCTTTTGTGCTAGTGGACAAACATACTAAATATTCATAAAAAGTTTGATTTTCATATCATGTCATATGTTACGCTGTTTATCCTACAGTGTATGAGGCTTTCTTCATATTTCATGACGTTTATTGAGAAGGTGTTCGATATGTGTCTAAAAAGACAATTATAATCAATCTGAATCAATGAACTTAACATACCAATCATCTAAAAACTCTACGAAATACAAAAAGTAAGAAAATTATCTTTGGTCGTGACCGAATCTTTTATACCCACCACCGGTATCCTAACAAAGACAAAAAATAGTAAAAGAACTACATTTTCATTTTCTATAATACGGAGTGGACGCGGTAGATTTTTTCTACGTTGTATGGTCCGCGTGTTACTGTGTAGGCGCTACCGGGAGAATGTATACCACAAGTACTACACAGGGCTATACAGCAGGCAGACAGATAGGCAAACGGAGAGACGGACATATTAAGTTGCATTCCAACTATTAAACTGGCCAAGAATTTATATAGGGTTTTTGAAGCTTGTTACTGCGCCTTGTAAAGGTGTTGAAAAAAATTAAAATTTTGATACACTATAATATTAGATAGGCGTGGTCAATTATTTCCGATTTTGTAAAGATGCTACAGCATCGCCTATAGAATATGCCTAATGGTGCAAAAAGGCAAGTATTTATTCCGACCGAAAAATAGAGGGGTTCTGAGCTTATGTCTTACTCTGACAAACGGAATGAACAGACAGATTGCTTCCGTAGATTCGCATATAAAAAAAGATTTATTTCGTATTATGATTTTTGTTTTCAGTTATTTGAGTAACAATAATAATTTAAAAAATAATTTAAAATATTATAAGGAAGAAGAAGAAGAGCACTTATGGATCTCTTGGGCCAGTACTCCGAAAATCTTCATATCTTTCTTTACAAGTGTACAAGTGTAGAGAGCGGGATGTGAATGTGTAATGATATGTGTATACTTTTTTTTTTCTTATGTATACTTCATTTTAATTTATCTTTATTTAATTTTACATATCAAATAGTAAAAAACTAACAAACTAATTACAAAAAAAAAAAAAAAAAAAAAAAAACAAAATTTAAATCAGAAAGTTGGCAGCTTTCCGATTGCTTTCGAGACACTATTTGATGACAAATCTTATATTGCATGTGGTGGAGTCATTAATTTTGACAACTGCACAAATAACGTATAACGACATACATATGCTACACATCAGTCAGTTTATTCACTAAATGCATTGTGATTTACTGTGTCGGTATAGCGCAGAGAAGCCATTTGCATCAGTTTTGACCACTTATTTTGAACGCAAAATCACCCAATAGACGAAGTGAACTCTGCAGAGCCTTATAGCGATCGATAGATACGCATGCATCTGATGCATAAATACTATGTAGTCGTATAAGATATAAGTGGAACAGAATAATGCAAAAATAATCAGTCCGGGTATATATATATGTATTCGTCTGTGTCCGTGCGTGTTTGAATGTGTGCATGAATAAACCGCATACAGGGGTTTAGCGGGAGGGGGGTAAATGTAGAAAGATTAGCGGCCAGTCATCGTATATGCTGTTAATTGGATACAATAGTGAATTAAGTTTATATGCGTACGAAACATGTTTGTTTGTATGTAATGATAGAGATGTTGGTTGTAAAATGATAGACGGGCACGACTGTGGTTTGTTTTACAGTTTCAGTTTAAATTAACAATGCAGTGCAATGCATGCATGTTTGATATTGCATATGTATGCGCTGCACGCATTTCATGAAATCAGTCTCATATCCCATTGACCATTTGCTAAGACCGACCATTTTCATGTTTTAAATTATAAATTATCAACAAGATTTGTGCAATTCCTATAATAAATTTAAATTCAGTTAATTCAGTCCAGTACGTTTCAGCGCAAATCCATTCGTTTCAATAATCAACCGACTGTGCTTCGTTTCGCAACATAAACGTATTCTTCCTTTGTGATATATTGCGGTCATATGTGTTGGCAGTGTATTGCAGTGTCTTGATATATTGCTATGAAATTGAGATACTAATTAGTTTTCCTTAATGAAACATATTAACCAGTGCATGCGCACACTTTTGCATAAGCGCGACAAATTAATCTTTCTATTTATTCAATATGGATGATTAAAGGGGCAAAAACCCGCGGAACGGATCTTTCTCAGGTAATTATGATTTTGATTTTAATAGTAAATTGTCATAAGAATTTCAATAGTAGTCAGGTGATTTGTTTTGAACGAAAACCAATTGACTCAATAAATATGCGGTCTGTCACCGCTGCTGACAGACCCATCCAGTTCTCTGGACAGCACGAACCCTTTAAATGACACATGTCAAAATTTCATAACAGTCATGGCAATTAGTTTACAGGTCATAGGTGGTTTTTGTGACCATAGTTTTTTTACTTTTCAAAAGAATGGATATAAAGGAGTTCCATGTGTTGGTTAAACATTGTGTTTTGATGGGAAAAAATACCGTCTAAAAAGTGTTATTTATCTATACACATAAGTATTTATCAATGTTTTTCTAATTTTGCCCAAGTCTTAAGTGAGTCGTCGATGACGCTGACACTTCTGGTCATCCGAATTTCACAGTTGTTCCAGAAGGAATAAGAAAAGCACCTAATAATGTTTTGAAAGAGCGAAAAATGAAGTTGGGTGAGATAGTTGAGCCCATGAGGAAAATCGGGCCGAAAAGAGTGCCGGATTTACTCGCTTCTGATGCCAAGTTTACAAAGGAAAGGAAGAAACGATATATGACATAGATTCATGATGGCGAAAGCCATCTAAAGCGAACAAGAAGGTATATATATCGTCATTAAAACAAGTGTAACTTTTGGTCGGAATGTAACGAGGTTTTCACGCAGTTCGTTTGGCAGATAGTAATACGTAAAAGCTATATGGCTTTGTCAATAGTGGCGGCATCTATATGTCATTCTGTCAACTTGTTGTTGTTTCATGTTACACCTTAACTGTTCATGTTGTACATGTTTATATAGTTGTGTGTAGTTTAGTTTTCGCATACGTATATATATAATTTTATTCACAATCGTTTAAACATTTCATTCTCACATAAAATGGCATTTCTGGGCCACACATGCAGATAATTATGTAAATATTTTCTTCATTTCTTTGTTATTTCACATGCATTGTATTTGTTTAAAAATCTCGCTTTCATTTAAATTTACAAACATGAAAAGAGATGAAAAAATCTTTCAAAATTCATACACTAACCCATATATGGCAGTGATATGTAATTCATTCATTTTAATGATTTGAGGATAATTGATTATGCATAACGGCGTTATGGTTAAAATCTACCAAGAATTGCATATCCAAAGTATATGTACACACAGATGCTTAAGCATACGTATAACGTTTAGTAGATGAAAATTTTCTGTTATATGTTTTCACAATTTTCGAGAAGGATATGCTTCACGTTGCTATAGTGAATAAAATGCCTGCACACTTATGTAGTTTCCACTAATTAATCGGCCTCTAAGCTCTTATTCTGATTTGCATAAATCCTATTGAGACGAACTGTATTAATCTTCTTTATTGCAAGACCTAACACGAACATACATGAGAATGCAAATCGAAAAAAATTGAAGAAGAATGCGAAAAACTCCTTGACAATGATCTACCAACCCGACTAACGACGGTATAATTTCGTATCTGCTGGGACAAATTGATGCAGAGAATTGTGCGTAATACGGCATTGTGAACATTTTATTGGCTCAACTTGTTTGTTTTCTTGCCAAAGTCTAAAGCATTAATTGAGAAACTTTGCTTATGATAGGAAAAAAAAGAAAAAAAAAAAACTTTACTTTAATAGGCGTACACCCACGCTTGTTAGCAATTTCTCTCTCTTTCTTTCTTTCTTTCTTCTTTTGTTATTGTTGTTCCACGCACAATTTTCTCCTTGAACCAGGCGCCTACACTAATGTATGCACCTGAGGTTGACAACTTATTTGACACAACATTATTTTGCTAAAGAAAAAAAAATCGAAAAAACAAAAAAAAAAATTGTCTGCAGTGACAGTTGTGAATATCTTAAAATAAATATGCCTGACACATTCGCTCACTGCTATCATTGCTATCATTGAGAGCCTTGTTTCTCAAGTGAACATTTGGCGGTAAACATTTTTCGCTTTTCTTATTACTATTGTTGCAAAAAGCAACTTGTCTAATGGTCGCAAATATTCGGTGTTTATGAAACTATAGTACACGATGGCAACTTAACGGTATTTCCTCCTTTGCTAGCTTTTTCGTCAATAAAGTTGTTGAGGTAATCTTCATGCAAAGACGTTACGTATCGCTTTCGGTGTATGTATGGGTTCAATAATTTTAAATCAAGCTTAGACGACCGTCAGTACTTTTATGTCTCTCTCACACACACACACACACACACGCACAATCCTTCTCGATTAAACGAGACTACCAATGAAATTGTGTTCTCTTTTCATTTTTTACTCACCTCTTCTATGGCCATAATTTTGAATTCAATCAATTAAATCGAAATGCAACCTTTTCTTTTTTTTTGTTTTTTTTGTTTTGCACAAAGCACTTGAAAATTAATTGATGCGCAATAAAATATAAAAATGAGAAAAATTAAAAATTGATTGAAATCAAATGCGCAAATATCAACCAGCTTTTGTTGTATTATTATTATGATTTTTTTTTTTTTTTTTGTTTTTTTCAATAATTTATATGAAACATTTTTGCAAGCGATTTAAAAGGATTTGAAGAGAGCTTATGATGTTGTGATTTTTTTTAATTTTAATTTTTTTATAACATTTTTTTAAAAATTATGCAAAACAATCATTTGATTGCCTATATTGCTTATAATATTCTCGTTTATTCCTAATATTTTCCCCTTAATTGTCCAAAATATTAATCCATTGCTCGCCACGTATGTGTTTTTTTACGAGCTCACGCAACGTATCCTTACAAAATTTAGTTAAACACTAAAAATAAAACAAACAAAACAAATGCAATAAAAATTTCCGTCTTTCTTTTTTTTTTAACGTATGCACCTTTTTTTCACGATCAATGTCAGTCAGTCAATCAATCGAATTATTTCCTTCATACTCTTTAATTCAATTGATTCTTTTTCTATATACACCGCCGCCACGAGAGGGTGTATTAAATTTTTGATTTTATCAGCAAATTTCAGATATACCCGTGAAATTTCGCAGCTTTGCAGAAACTCTTACGTGTTTTTGTTAAATATCGCAAAAAGGATTTCCATGGGATCCCAATTATGCTTACGCGGTATGCAGCACAGGGTTTTCATAAATCGAATTAAGTGTAGCGATGGCCTTATGAAAGAACATTACTTTGTTTGTTTGACTCCCGGATATGAAAGTGTTACCTTTAAATTTCGCTCAGGACTACAAGTTATCTCACTGCGGCTTATGTAATATAGTTTTTAGCAGTTTTGAGTAAATCAATTTCTATGCGATAAAATTTCAAAGATGGAAAACAATAGAGAAGTGACGATCAATGGTTCCAGTTAGGATATCCAAATCGCAAATGATTATGACCGCGAACCACTAACATCGACCGTAAAGTGACATAGCCAGATTTTCGTCAGCTGGGCATTATGAGAGCCTTCAGTTAAACGAGACGATTGCTGCAGAATCTCGAGTTGCTATCACTAATACCTAATGCAATTAAGCTGAAAAAGAACCGGAGCAATCTATCAAAAGTCTTCATATCATTCTATCTCCACAAGACACGATGACATTGCACATCCTGTAAGGCAAAACTCGCTTAGGAGACATAAGCAGCAGTGAAAAGGAATCACGTGCGCATCCCCACTGCATACATCATATATTATTCTTTCTGATCCATATCCTCTTTCAATCGATAACTTTGCATTGCGAGCCTTGGGGCTTTTGGGTGCCAAGCTGCAAAATGCTACCTGTATTGCTTCCGCGGAAATCATACCAGGCCTGAAAGATGGGAGAAATATTGGCTTGGCATACTCTAAACAAAGTACTCTTTACTTAGTGCTTTTTTCCACACTCAAAAGAGATATGGGATTATTTCGGCGTTTAATGTATTCGTGTGGTCGCCTCATGCCAATTAAAATCTCTTCTCTTGTTATTCTTTTCAAATATAAACAAAACATTTGCGTCGTTATTGTACAATTTTTTATGCATACACATATATATACATATATATATATGTATATAAATATATATGTACGTATATGTATATAAAACATGTATAATATTATTTAATAGGATTTTGGATTGACGCGTTTTAGCGCAATTCTGATGAAATCAATTGTTCAAATATAATAGTAAAAGCCTTGTCAACGCTAATTAACAGCAAGAAAGTTGAGATTTACTAAATTTGCTTTAAAAAAAAAAAAAAAAAAAAAAAAAAAAAACAACAACAACTATATATTTCATTATTTTAAGTGTATTAATAAATTCTTTCTGCTGAAATTGATTGCTTCATATAATGTATTTGACGTTGGTAGGTGGGATAGAAAAGTAACTTAGTCATTAGCACTTGTACAGTGAAAGATTCAGTTCTTCACAAGCTATCGTTCAGTGTATATCAAAGTGTATTGAGGAGTTAGATGCAAGAGCATGCACCATTTAAGCCATTGCTTGTGATTCCTTTTTTCAATTGAAAAAAAAAAAAGAAAGCACAATACAGCTTAAGCCAGCTTAGGATGAAAATGCGGAAAGTTATGAAACAGTTAGAAAGTGCTTTAGGAGATTTTGTGTAAAAAGTGATAGTCTTGAGGACCATAAAGCAATCAATTTCAACGCAAACAATTTATTACTACACCTTAAATAAGAGGTGACTGCTTTTTAGTTTAATTTCAAGCGAACTGCTAGGCATTTCATTTTATAAATTTTCTTCTAAAAGTAAGGTTAAATTTTCATAGCCCTTTACAAAGTAACGCTTCATGATATGAAGCGAACTTAAGTTTATTTAGAGAAAGGGGCTTCATTAAGCCAGTCTTCCGAGGATCTATGTGAAGTGCGTAATCAATTTTTGGCTTTCGATTTCAAATGTTTCTTAATAAATTCTTTAAATAATGTAAAAGAAAAATGTCGTTTGAAAGAGATATTATTCAACTTTAACATAATGATTCTTTCATTAATAAAAAAAAAAAAAAAAAAAAAAAATTTTTTTATATTTTATATTTATTTCACTTCCAAGTGACATGCAATTCATTAATGTCAAAGTGTTCGCCTTTAAAAGAAAGCAAAAACATCTGTTTTGAATGTCAAAAATAAAAAAAATTAATGGCTTTAGGTTAAATTTTAACCATAGTACATTTAGGCTGAAATTTCTTTAACAATTAGCGGCGCTGCTTAATGTATTGAACGTGAATCGATTATTAATGAATTTCGATGAAGAAAAAACAATTTATTAAATAAAGTCATTTCGCTTACATAACATTTATGCAAAATATTTAATAAAATTTTCCGGAGCAAATAATAAAAATTAATTTTTTCCTATATAATATATTAATATATAGAATATTTCTTCTCATTTAATTTGTTTAATTTCATCAAAGTTTTCATAATACATAAAAATTAATAAATAAACGTTTAGACAAAGAGGGAAAAAAACTTTTCAGTTCTCTTCTTCCCATTCATTCATGTATATGATATTTTGTATTTATTTTATATTAGAAAGAAAAAAGAATTTTTAATTTTTGGCATCAATTTTTATTTACAATACATAATACGCATACATACATAAACGGATATTATATATAAATACGTATTATATATGTACATGTATAGATATGTTTGAACTTTTCGTTATCTGCTTCGTATATTTCTCTTCTTTTTTTTTTGCATTTCCATTTTTCTTTTATTGCTTTTCATTTATTTATATATGCGCTCTTCTCTACTGATCTGTTTATTTTGTTTACTTTTACTTATCTAATATTGTTTTCTCCGCAGGGTAAGATAATTGTAACATTTACACATGTCGATTAGAAATCCATGCTTTCTTATGAAATATAAAATCTGAAGAAAATTTATTCATATCTTTCCATGGTTATACCTACATACTTTATTGTTACTTCAATTTGAAAACAAACCAAAATTTTGCTTAACAAAATTGACGATTAAGTCGACTGACTACCGGAGCTGAATTTCCCCGATTTCTTATCTTTTTCTTATACCGACCGTAAAAGCGATATAAAATTGTTGAAATATATGCAAATCCCGAAAACCCTGTACGTCTCAAGAGCAGTTTGAATAACGCATCACAAATTAATTTTATACCACGTACAGTGCCTAGAAAGCTGAACTACTACTACTAATACTATACTATACTATGCTAATACTGTATTAGTATTACACTGGACTATACTAAACTAGTAATACTCAATACTACACTAGCACTCTACCATACTGTACCAGTACTAGTATATACGCGATACTGTACTAGTAAACACACTATACTGCAGTAGTATTATACGTTACTATAGTATACTAGTGTTACACTATACTACACTAGCACTGCACTATACTGTATTGGTACTATGCTATACTATTACTACACTATGCTATACTAATACTATATTATTTTACACTTTTGAAGTACTGCACTATACTATACTAGCACTTTACCATACTAGTACTACACTATACTGTCCTATGCCGTACTATTACCACGATATACTACGCTAGTAGGAACATAAGTCTGTCTTTTTATGTTCGCTTCTAGTCATATAACATGGTTTCCCACAGCACCGGAGTTTCCCAGAGATGGAAACGTATCTACCATTTTATAGCCAGATAGGGCCAGTAGAAGTTGTTGTGTACAAAAACCTCTACTTTGGAGCTTTCATCTAAATATCCGGCAATTGGCCGACCTAAACCGAAGAAATACCGATATCGGAGAGATAAATGAACAACAAGACTTGAATCGATTCAGAAAATGATTCTGAATCTATAGTAAAAACTAAACTCACCTAATGTCGTCCTGAGTGATATATCAGTTTAAACTTAATATACGCTTACTATAAGAAGTGAGTGCTCACTGCAAAAATATATATGTGCAGCGTACTTGTGAATAAGCAGTGTAGTCGTATGGTGTGGGTATGCAAAAATGTAGTTGTGTGTGCATCGAAAATTGCATTTGCATGTGCGTTTAATGAAAAAGATATTCTTTTCTATTTTGTAACTTATTTGTTATATGATCAATAAATAAAAAGAGCCAGATGATGTTATACTACGAGGCTCGTAAAATTCATTTTTATTTTTCCTTTTTCCCTCAAGTTATGCGAAAGTAATTTAAAAGCAATTTCATTTGTCCTCTGTATACAAGTTTATCTTTGATTTTTTAATTAACTAATGATCCATATTGCAGCACTTATTGTATGCATTTTATAAGAAATTTTGATTGAAAGATAAACGAAGCATCAGAATGTATTTGCCCTTTGCCCTTGCGGCGAGTACTTGATATTGATTGTTTCAAGCCTATTGGTTAGTTGAAAAACCAAAGCTTTTTTTTTTTGTATTGTATAAAAGTTAATGTATATAATCTTTTTCTTATATAGATTTTAAGTTATAGTTTTTTTCCCCCTATCGTGATTTTCTTTCTTTTTTTTTTGTTTGCTCTTTATAATTTCTGTAACAAAGACAGAGCGGTTTTTTGTTTTACTTCAATTTCGTTTCATTGCATATTTCAATTTTCGTTTGTAATCTTCTTTATTTGCATGTTCTTTATCCTGCTAAGCTCTTTTGATTCTTATAGGCAGCTTTACAGCTTAAAATTCAAGTTGAGCTATTAAATTATTAACTAAATGACTTATTATATTATTCCTGCGTTCAAAGCTTGGAAGCGTCAATTACATTTCTGTTCGAGTTTTTTTTTTTTTTTTTTTTAATAATATAATATATAACTGCATGACGTGTAATGCAGATATTTGTGTAAATTTTTTAAAAATCTTTTTTTTTTTTTTTGGCTTAGTAGACTCCTTGAACTTTCTAGAACATGTTTGAAATTTTTGCTGATGATTCTCAAAGATGAGAACGAGGTGATAACAATAGGGCTTATGGAATATATTTTTTTTTTTTTTTGATAACAAGTTTCTCTCTAACATTGCGTAAATATTTACGAAAGATACATTGACAACCGGGGATCAACTGGTTTATCGCTTCTTATAATAGCTTAGAGATAAAAACAAAATTTCGAACATGAACTTTTCAAAATTTCTCTCAGTTTTTATACTCTACACCACCTGTGGAACAAAAATGTGCAACATCCAGAAGGAGTTCCATATCACTTTCGGTCGAATCGATCTAAGCTTGTCTAGCCGTCTTGAATTTTTATGTTAAACCTAGAGGTCGTAGTTTTTGATATATTTTGATGGGATTTGCCAAAGGATGAGTGCTATTGAAAATGCTTCGGATCGGATGACTTTTCTACCACTTCCCTTAGTCATTATATCAACAACTATACGAAGGGAAATGGTGTTGGGCACTTATTGGCGGGCCTCGGCTCACAATGTTTTTATTTATTCTTCATGAAATTGTATATAATTATATGTGAATATATGTTTTTACAAAAATTGAGCCCACGGGGAAGCATTCCCCCATAATTTAAGAAGCAATAGAATCATAAAATGCATTTTTCTCAAACAATCAATGATATTGAATGCTTATGAGACATAAACATAAGATAGTTGCTATCAGTATTTATAGTAAGAACACGCTCAACATTTTCAAAGGCTTATGCGAACAAAATTAATGGAATCCTACAAGTACTTCCAAGAAATTATGGTACAGACGGCGTGACGCGGATCGAATGGTAAGAGCTGGCAAAGTAAAACTAAATTTAGGCTCATATTATTAAAAATTGATCGCTTGAAATAATAATTAAGCAACACAAAACAACATATGGGTAACTATTTGTAAATACGTATAAGCAACGCATGTAAAATTTGGTGAAATTTTATTTATTTTTATCTTTTATCTGCATTCATTCATGTTTTTTTTTTTTTTTTTAATTACAAAATTTTCTTGAGAATCAAAAAAAGATAAGGAAAAGGAAAAAACATTTCAATAGTTTCCTGGTTAGTTATGCCAACAATAAAACAAACCATATTCAAATTAAATAAAAAAAACAATAAAAAAACTGTTTTAT